TCAAGCTCAACAAGGCCGCGGACGTGGACGACCTGGTGCGCCGTATCGCGAGACGCCCACGCCTCCGGGTGTGCGACCTGGATCGAATCACCAAGGACCCTACGGCCAGCCACCTCCTATGCAACAGCCGAATGGAAACCGACCTCCAAGTGCTCCGCTCCCACATCATCCACAAGTTGCGCCATACGCAGTACGTCAAATCGTTCGTTAGGTATTCGTAACTCATGCTGACTTCACTTACAGCCCCCGCCAGCATCGTATAGTGCTCAGCCGCCTTCAGCGGCCCCTGGTCCCTACCAGCCCCCTCCACAAATGCCACACGCTGGGCTTGCGGGTGCTCAGACTGGTGTGATAAGCAAAGATTCTCTGGGTCAAGATATCCAGAAGTTGATCGATGCGTCGAAGTTGGAGTTTGCGCAGAACCCACATGATCATAGTGTTCATCAAAGACTTAAGGCATTGTTGGATGTGCAGAACTTGCTCCAGCACCAGAACTTGCCTCAGGACCAATTGGTCCTTATAAAGAATCAAGTAGCCGATCTTGCTGTAAAAGTGAGGCCGTTCGCGGCCCAGGGTCATGCCCCTGCTGCTACGCCTGTCCCTCATCATCCACCGCCCGCTGCTGCGGCGCCTGTAGTACCGCCGTCCGGACCTCCTCAGCAGTCAGGAGGCGTGACACTTGACGCTCTCTTCGGCCAAGGGGCTCTTGCTGCTCTGTTGACCCGTCAGTCAGCTACACCACAAGCACCAACACCAACGCCGCCCCCGCCGTTCCCGAACATGGCGATCCGATCTCCTCCACCACAAAGAGCCGAGCCTCAACGGCAGAGTAGCGCTCCGCCCGCTACGGACCCTTTGGCCTTGCTTGCAGGATTGCGGCAAGCGGGATTGCTGTCAGGAGGTGCGCCAAGCGCTACGCCAACACCAGCACCGCCGGCTCCCGCGCCAATTCCCCCTCCGGGAATGCCTATGCTGCCGCCCGGCTTGTTGCCTCCGAACATTGCCAGCTTGCTAGCTGGCATGCCGCGACCTCCCATGCCGAATATGAACGCGAACCAGCTAGATGCCACAGCGCTCAAACAGCAGTAAGTTTTTCCCGTGACTATGATTGTCACTGTACTCACTCTTCTGTAGATACCAGCCGCATTTGATTGCGTCAATCTATGAGCAATTAGGACCGCAATGCACGCAATGTGGCAGACGATTCAAGACAGATGAGGAGGGCAGAAAGAAGAAGATGGCGCACATGGATTGGCATTTCAAAGCTCATCAACGGCTTGCAGAAGCAGAGAAGCGAGGCCAGCATCGTAGCTGGTATGTCGACAATAATGTATGTCTCTTGTCTGGTTTGAGGTGTGGCAGTATCTAACAGGTCACAGGACTGGCTCAAGTCACGAGAGGCAATCGATGTCGACCACCCGCCATCTACGGGCGATGCCTCGTCTAGCCCCGGCAAGGAAAAAAAGGAAGCCAAGCCCAAGTACATCCCTGTGCCAGATGCGTCAAGCAGAATCAACAGTGTCTGCCCTATATGTCAAGAAAAGTTCGAGAACAAGTGGCTGGACACGGCGCAGGAATGGGTTTGGCTGGATACAATTCTAGTCGGCAACCGGGCGTACCATTACAGCTGCCACGCGGAGGCAACACAAGCCCGGGGCAGCACCCCGACATACTCGAGGAGTACCCCCGAGCCGGTGCACCGCAAGCGGAAGGCGGAGGTAAGCAACGCACCACCAAGAAGATTTACCGGCCAACATTCGCTGACATCTATAGCAGGGTGACCACAAATCTCATCGAGGAAGAGTGAAGGCAGAGAACAGAAAATGGGAAACAGAACTCGATTACTAGCGATTGCATTGAACCAGTGGGAAGCGGCATATTGACAGGGCCTCGTGGGGCGGCGTCAGGTCATTCTGGGGAGGTCTAGAAGACACCATACCTGCATCTTGAACACACGAGGCACACTTTTTGGTGGCATTACGCGTTGCCAAGCGATAGTCGTTGACATTTAAGAAACAATTGATTGGAAGGCGGTGTGGGCGAATCGAAACACTTGTCACACAAGCAAAAACGCCAACGCATCCAACGATAGAGAATAAGAAAAAACGGGATCCATGAACTAAAGCCCGGGTGGAAGAGATGAGAGTCGATCGTGGGGGGATCGGCACATACGGAACAGCGGAGGTGCGGGCGCCAGGTGGGAAGACGCATTTGGGGTGGTGATTCTCGAAGCACCTCCGTTCGTCGGACTTGCCGGGCAGGGGATCGGCGGACGAGCTCCTTGGTATCGCGGCCAACCTACATGCTCGGCAAGGCTAGGCTATGGCTACATCGGCGGAGATAATGTTTATAGACGATGCGCAAGGGGGCAGAGACGAGGGCTGAGAAAGCATCCAAGACACACCGCAAATCCAGACGGGTGACAGCGCAGCGGGCATCAGGGGTTTGATGCTCACATGGCGCGCAGACACTTTTTTTCACGTATCGTGACAATTCGTGTTTATCGTGCTTCTCGGGAGGTCAGATATCACCTTGGCTTTAATAATGAAATGCCGAAAACATGTAAGATTCCGTGGAAACCGTGATGGCGATGACAAGCAACCTCTTCTATTGGCATCTCGAAGCCATGCAAAATGCAGTCGCGCCCCATGAAATTTCTCGACGCTTCTCCACATGAGCTCTTGTGATCATGGATTTTGCTGTTGCATCGCATCCCACGTCCCACTCCCCACAGTCTTGACTCTGCGCTAGTTGGGAGGAGGGTTGCAAGGGAACGCAGCGCGCATGTGTAGGAATCCTTGCATGACAACCCTTTTTCATTGTATTGCAGCGCGTGGGCGACTCCGATATGGTGCAGGTGCATGGAAATGTTGCCGGAGCGGGCTGGAACGCGGCCTGCTGCGATGCTCTCTTGCGGCTGGTTCCTGGCAATGTTTCCGACCTCGTGCTTGCTGACCCTGGCCGTTTAGATCGGTCACAAGAGGCACTCGCAGACTGGTGTGAACTTGGAGGGGGAACGGGAGAGAGAGACACAGGCGTTGGGCCACGATTGGGTCGCATGGAGGCGGAAAGGACGGAGAAGGAAATAGTATGGGGATAGTGCAGGATGGACTCGCTCAGCACCCCACGACGACGTCGATGGCAGTCGAGGAGCAGCACACTGGCAAGGTCGAAGGCACTGGTGGCTTGGGACGGGAGGCGGCGGATGGCAGCCGGACCATCCTTTTTGGGCCTCCCGACGTGGCGCCCTTGTCTCTTTTGTGTCTCGCCTTCTTTTTCCTTCTTTCGGGGCTTGGTGCCTCATTGTTTCCTTGCTGGCGTAAGGTATGCAGATCTCCGTGTGTAAGTACTGCTGTCTGACCGTCTATTGATAGAAGAAGCTGCTTTGCTATCTAGTGAGCCATTGGGTTGTTTGATTAGACCACAAAGTCTCCTACAAGCACGGTGTTCCACGTTGAAACCCATTGGGTTGGATTGGTCTGGTTCGGATGTTGAATGCTGAATGCTGTTACATAGGTAGTGTCCTTAGGATGTAAGTAAGGTAGTCAGTCAGTGGTGTAGATGCTAGGTAGCATTGGGGCCCAACGGGTGTGGTGGCGGTGACGGGAGACGGGACGAAATAACATTGAAATTCAAACAAAAGCAACATCATAATTGTGGAGGGAGCTCCCAAGTTCGTTTCTGAGCGAGCGAGCGAGCACTGAGTTGCCACACAACTCCCGTCACCACCTAGCCAAGTGTTTCTCCAGGTCTTGCTAAAATTAAAGTAGCCCGCCTGTTCATAGATGGTATCGCACCCCCTTCTGGAAGCATGTGGGGAATGCTGTCATTTGGCGGGGTTATGCTTCCTTTCATGGCCTTCGACTTTGCCTCTGGTTACCCAAAGAGCTCTGTTCTGGACTTGGTGTAGGGGTAGGCACTTGGGGCGAGACCAGAGCAACTGGGAGAGAGAAGGCGATGGATGAGCTCTCCCGGAAGCGCATGCAAGTTCTGGAGCATTAGGTTGGGGGCCTGGCCATCCAGGGACCTTCCCAGAAGTCGTGGCTGCTTCCCCGAGCCCCGGAAATCCCACGGTGTAACCCCCCTTGCTGTAGTCCAGCATCCAGCAGATTCGACGGGCAGAGCTGGCAATGGACTGGGCCCCTTGGTTGCTTGGCTCCCAACAGGCGGCTGGACACACCCCAAATTCAGTGGAGGTCAGGTTCAGGTTCCCGTTCCCCGAAGGTCCCTTGCGGCGCGGCTTGTGGTCGGTGCTGCGGGCTGGGTGGGTGCCCGCATATCGAAGTGGATGCCCCCTTCCACACCCCTCCATCCCATCGGTGTTGCCCCCGGTACGAGGGTGAGCCTGACCGGCCCCCGATAGCGCTTGGAATTGCAGCTGACACAGGCCGCGGATCCATCCCGAGCTTGCCATCATTTTTGGCGGTTTGGCTGCTTTGATTCTCTGTTTTCTGCCTGTCTGCGGGATTCTAGCTTGGCCCTCCTCCGCATCATGTACAATCGATGGCCTACAAATGCGCAGGGTAGCTCTTGTACCTTATTTACCCCACTCCATGGAGGGGCAAAAGGGGTCCAGGTCCTGGGCAGGCGGCGCAAGCACCAAGCTCAATCCCCGTCGTAGAAGTGTTGAAGGTGTGTCTCGTCTCCAGCCGCCCCTCCAGCTCGTGTTGAGGTCCAGCTCCCTTCTTAAGAAAGCTCCTCTTCACTCCTCTTTTTTCTCTGGGTGCCATTGATTAATGGACCTGGAGGATCCAAAACTTCTACTGCCTTCCCACTCGTGCTAAAATCTTTCACCAGTCGACAAAACAAACGAGACCCCAAAGTCTCACTTTCCCAACTTTGCACTACGTCATACAATACCGCGTGAATGGGTGAATATCTGCCACAGATGGAGTAAGTTTAATCTCTATGGTGTCTTTCTTCTTGCGAAGCTATCGATCGCGCTCACAACAATGCCCCGGTCCTTTGGGTTCACATCGGCTTGACAACAGAGCTTCAAGATGGCTAACAGTCCTCCTTCTAGGCCTCCCCAACTTCTCGTGAGTTGCCAACCAAGAGCTCATCAGCTTATTTCACCCTCGACACGAGCGCGGGCCACTGACTGAAGCAATCGACAGGATCATTACATCGGAATTGATGTGGGCACTGGCTCCGCCAGAGCTTGCATCATTGATGAGACCGGCGATATCAAGGCCCTGGCCACCGAGCCCATCAAGCTGTGGCAGCCAGAGACCGGATTCTACGTGAGTCTTCCCGATCCTCCTGTTGTATTCTCCAGCTTTACGACAGCCTCCACAACCGTAACAAAGTAAGCTGACCATCGGCAGGAACAATCGACCACAGACATCTGGGCATGCATTTGCCTCTGCGTTAAGCAGGTTCTCATCGACTCCTCGGTTGACCCTGCCAAGATCAAGGGAATCGGCTTCGATGCTACCTGCTCCCTCGCCGTCTTCAGAGACGACACCGATGTTCCCGTCCCTGTCACAGGCCCCGACTTCGATAACGCCGATGGCAACGACCGCAACGTCATCCTTTGGCTGGACCACCGTCCCGTCGAGGAGACGGAGAAGATCAACGCCACTGGCCACAACCTGCTCAAGTACGTCGGCGGCACCATGAGCATCGAGATGGAGATTCCCAAGGTGCTCTGGCTCAAGAACCACATGCCCAAGGAGCTCTTCGACCGCTGCAAGTTCTACGACCTCGCGGATGCCCTTACGCACATGGCCACCGGCAACGAGACGCGAAGCTTCTGCAGCACCGTTTGCAAGCAGGGCTACGTCCCTGTGGGTGTCGACGGCAGCGTCAAGGGCTGGCAGGAGGATTTCCTTACGACAATCGGTCTGGAAGACCTTTGCAACGACAACTTCAAGCGCATGGGCGGCGTCAACGGGGTGGTGAGCGCCGGTTCCCGTGGATCGAGGACATTTGGCTAACAAGAATCGCAGAACGGAAAGTACCAGAGTGCCGGCGAGCTCGTCGGAACTCTCAGCAAGAAGGCTGCCCGGGAGTTGGGACTTCCCGAGGGCATTGCCGTCGGTGGTGGTGTGATTGACGCGTACGCTGGATGGATCGGCACCGTCGGAGCCAAGGTCGAGCTCCCTCCTGATCATCTCGACGAGGAGGCGCCCAAGAACGACCTGTCCCAGGCTTTCCATAGGTTGGCGGCGGTTGCCGGAACATCCACGTGCCACCTAGCCATGTCCCGAGAAGCTGTGTTCGTGCCCGGCGTTTGGGGTCCTTATCGCGATGTGCTTCTGCCTGAGTTCTGGATGGCCGAAGGTGGTCAGTCCGCCACCGGCGAGCTCCTCCGTCACATTCTCGATATCCATCCCGCATACGTCGAGACTCAGGCGCTTGCCACGGCCGAGTCGAAGAACATTTACGACTTCCTGAACGCTCATCTGGAGTACATGCGAGAGAAGGCGAACGCTCCTTCCATCTCCTACCTAGGCCGCCACTTCTTCTTTTATGGCGACCTCTGGGGCAACAGATCACCCGTTGCCGACCCCAACATGAAGGGTGCCGTCATTGGCCTGAGCAGCGACAAGACGACAGACAACCTCGCGCTGTGGTACTACGCGACTATGGAGTTCATTGCCATGCAGACGCGTCAGATCGTCGAGTCGATGAACAACGCTGGTCACGTCCTCAACACCATCTTCATGTCCGGCAGCCAGTGCCAAAACCCGCTGCTCATGGATCTGATGGCCACCATCTGCGACATGCCCGTTCTCGTGCCCCGCTACGTCAACGCTGCCGTCGTCCACGGCGCCGCCATGCTGGGTGCCAAGGCGGCCACCGCGTCCGAGGACGGCACCACGGAGAACCTGTGGTCCATTATGGACCGCATGAGCAAGCCTGGCAAGCTCGTCAAGCCCGGCACTCTGAAGGGAGAGAAGTTCCTCTTCGACGCCAAGTACAAGGTCTTCCTCGAGCAGTGCAAGACACAGCAGGAGTACCGCAAGCAGGTTGATGTCGCTGTTGACCAGTGGCTGCAGAACTAAGACATTTTCTTTTTCACGGGCTGACGACGGATTGACGAGATAAAAAAGGGGAACGGAATCTTTCGGCGTGGGTTAGACGGTTTGGCTCAAGGGGTTTGGTTTGCGGCTTTCAGACCGTGGATTTCGGGCACTCTCTGGATGGATTGTTCGAGGGGTTCTCAACGATAATGATAATAGTCGTTCATTACGAACATAGAAGTTCTTCACACACAAAAGAGATTTTATACTGATCCGACGTGGAACCGTGCCTCGGTCGCATTGCAGCTCGCGAATGTTTTGAGGCGAAAAGCGAGGATGCTGCAGTGAAGCAGGGGTAGCTGCGGGTTTCGTTGCTGCACGTCCGCATCCGTAGCGAATACACGTGCCTGTGAGCACAGCAGCTGATAGGGCAATGGCCTCTGCGCTAGTTGTGTAGGTAGCGGGACGGTGGAGTTGCGATGCTGCAACGGGGAGAGGCGTGTGGGGCCGCGCCTCAGCAGCCACGGACCAAGGCGACAGACATCACCTTGCGACGGCCGAAGCTTGTTTTTCTATTCTCTTTCTCCGATGTACTTTTCTGCCTGTTGAAATTTCCTCCTCCTAGGCCTGCCGGCTCGGATCTAGTTGATCGAGAACAACATCCAGGCAAATTCGTGACGTGCACTGTCCCGTTTCAATCCCTCGACGACCGATAAACAAAGCGCACGTTTCACAGCTCGCCAGCTTCACCAACAATCCCTCCCGAAGAGCCCCTAGCAGCAATTGCAGCCGCCGCTGCCACGAGCCCACCATGCGATTCGGAAAGACTTTGCGGCAGGCCATTTATGCGCCTTGGAAAGACAAGTACATTGACTACGCGAAGCTCAAGTCCCTCCTGCGAGAGGACAAGTACGACGACGAGGATGTCGCGTGGACCGAGGAGGACGAGAACCGATTCTGCGACGAGATCTTCAACACCCAACTCGAGAAAGTCGCGCAGTTTCAGGAGAAGACGTTTAACGTGCTGAAGGATCGCATCGATGCCGCGTTCGAGAAACTCAAGGATCTGGCGCCGCCGGCCAGCGAGGGCGAGGAGCAGGACGGGTCCGAAGTCAAGAAGCCCGACGCCGCGACAGCCCAGAAGCTGAAGGACATTGAAGCGGAGCTCGACAAGATCACGACCGAGATCTCGGAGCTCAAGAAGTACAGCAACATCAACTACACGGGCTTCCTCAAGATCGTCAAGAAGCACGATCGCAAGAGAGGCGACCGCTACAAGGTGCGCCCCATGATGCAGCTGAGCCTGTCGCAGCGGCCCTTCAACTCCGAGCAGGGCTACTCGCCACTGCTCAACAAGCTATCCATCATGTACTACGCTATCCGTCAACAACTTGACGAGGGCAGCGCCGATCAGCAGCCTCTGGACCTGGAAAGCCAAGGCGAGACGCATAACGGAGAAAGGTACACTGCCCACAAGTTCTGGGTGCATCCGGACAACCTGCTGGAGGTGAAGACGTACATCATGAGACGGCTTCCCGCGCTTGTCTACAGCGAACAGTCGGCCAGGGAACTCGACGGCTCCAGCGACCCTACGATTACGTCGCTCTACTTCGACAGCCCCAAGTTCGACCTCTACGGAAAGAAGGTGGAGCGCAAGGCTGAGGCCTCTTCGTTGCGCGTGCGTTGGTACGGACAGTTGAGCTCCAAGCCTGACCTGTTTATCGAGCAAAAGATTGTCGGAGAGCAGGGATCCAGCGAGGAGCGCAAGTTCACGATCAAGGACAAGTACATCAAGCCGTTCATCGACGGAACATACAAGATGGAGAAGACGGTGCAAAAGATGGAGCGACAAGGCGTGCAGGCCGAGGAAATTGAAAACTTCAAGAACACCGTCCAGGCGCTCCAGGCTTTCGTTCAAGAGAACAAGTTGCAGCCCGTACTTCGCGCCAACTACGCCCGCACCGCCTTCCAGAAACCCGCCGACGACCGCGTCCGTATCTCGATCGACACCGAGGTTGCCTTCATTCGGGAGGATACCTTGGACCGCGACAGGCCTTGCCGTGACCCCTCCGAGTGGCACCGCACCGATATTGACGGTTCAAACGTGTCCTACCCGTTCAAGGCCATCAACCAGAGCGAGGTCTCCCGCTTCCCCTACGCCATCCTGGAGATCAAGCTCAAGGAAGACCCCAACCGGAAGCGTCCCGCGTGGGTCGCGGATCTGATGGGCTCCCACTTGGTTCACCCCACTCCACGATTCTCCAAGTTCGTTCACGGCGTCGCCTCTCTCTTTGAAGACTACGTCAACAGCCTTCCTTTTTGGCTCAGCGATCTGGAAGCCGACATCCGCAAGGATCCTCAGAAGGCGTTCGAAGCTGAGGAGCAACGTCGGGCCCAGCGCGCCGAGGATGAGCAGGCCGTCGGTAGCTTTTTGGGCAACAAAGTCAGTTCCTACAAGGTCTCCAAAAGCTCGCCGGCCGGCACGTCCTATCTCGCCAACCGCATGGCGGCCGAGGCGAGCGCTCGCTCGAGGCAAGCGGGCACCACGGAAAACCAGCAGGCTGGCTCGAACCAGGAGAATGGCGACCAACAGCCGCGCAGCTATGGCACGCTGTCTTCCGTCCTCCCCGGTTTCTCGCTGTCCAAGTACTCCAAGGCTAAGAGAGCACAAAAGAACCAGGTGCAGCTGCCCGAAGGTGTTGTCGAGCCGGTTCAGTGGCTCAAGAACTCGGGCGAGCTCAAGATCGAGCCCAAGGTGTGGCTGGCCAACGAGCGCACGTTCCTCAAGTGGCAGCACATCTGCATCCTCTTGGGTGCATTGGCCGTCTCGCTGTACACCGCCGCCGGCGAGAACTTCCTCGCCGAGGTCATGGGTATTGCCTACATCTTGATCGCCGTTTTTGCCGGTATGTGGGGATACTTCATGATGCACAGCCGGAGGAAGATGATTATCGACCGCAGCGGAAAGGACTTTGATAACCTCGTCGGGCCGTTGATTATCAGCGTTGCGATGATGATTGCGCTTATATTGAACTTTGTGTTCGCTGTAAGTTGACGCCGATCTTTGAAAACTTAATGGGAAGCTAACGAAATGTCAGTACCGCGGAGCTATGGAGAGGCTGAACGGGGAGAAGATGGCCTGGGAAATCATCAACGGCACCGGTGAGCCTATCCGCCAGGAGCTCATTTAAGTGACGAGAACTCGACGAATGTAGATTGTGTGGGTGAACCCCGTGTGGATGTCTGGCGTAGATCTCGTTTGGTGGTCAACATACATGGCTTTGGACCGGGTGCTGCTTTGGCTCTTTTTCTGGTATAATGCGTGATACCTCAGTCGGAGGCCGATGTAGAAGCATTGTGTAAATGTCTATGGGATAGGACTGTGCATCAAAAAAAATACATTTTCTTTGTCGGTCAAGTATAGTTATATTGCATCACAGATATCGGTACGAGCTTCTGTTTTTCGGAACTCCTGGCTTTTGACTGTTCAGACTCTGTGGTGTTTGGACAAGTTTCGAGCGGTCCTGTGTACGATGACGATGGTGCGGAGTAAGTGTAGAACGGCCATTTTGCGTCAAGCAGTGCGTCTCACTGTAGCCACATTGAAAGAATGAGGATTGCTTTGTTGCAAGCTTCGACTCCAGCTTCAAATATCAATGAGGTTCGGAGGATAGTCTCGATGACGCTGTTTCGATGAATCCTGATCCACTAGCTGAGTCCAAAGGCTTGGTTGAGAACATGTCTGGAGCGTTTCTTAAGTCTTCTTGAGAAGGCAGATCATACGCACTACTATCTGTTTCTGCTGTTTCTCTTCTTGAAGTATTGTGTGATTGAAGAACGAGGATGATTAAGGGACGCTTTGAAGCCGCCGTTGTCTATCGCACTTTTCCTTGGCGCTTACTTGGAATCAGTTGCAGAATTTGATGAGTGCTCTGACAACGGTCAGTATGCCTCGAAGTAGTCGTAGTCTTTGACGCTGGCTATCCTTTTGTCCGTCTAGCTACTACAAATAAACTACTCTTCACTAGTTGATGTGCCTAAGTAAGCATTGTTCTATGTAAATTTCGGGTTAACAATAGCTGCATTATGTTATCGTTCACATCTAGGTCGACTTCTGCAAATGGGCAGGAGGCCTCTTTATTAGGACGATCAATGATGTGAATACTACAGTTCCCTCAGGTTCAGGCTATAATGGCAACACCAGCTCCAACCGCCATCAGCTGATGCATTCTTCTCCTGTCGACCTCCTTCTTCAGCATGCAAATACAGCTTGCAACGAAGAGGCATTCTACTGTATCCTTGCCCCCATCCTTCAGATCCGTCCACCTGAACAAGTCCATCATCAGCCGGCCCCCGTTGCCGGCCGTACTCCTTCCGGTCCCCGGCGTTCTCGTCTTCTCCCCGCGCACCAGTTGAGCGACTCGCGAAGCCTTCTCCTGCATCTTCATCCCATTCGCAGGAACAGCCTGCTGAATCAGCTCACAGATGAGTAGCGTGTCCGCACCGTCGACAGCGGCGCGCTCTTTGCGGGAAGCGTAGCGCCATCGAAAGGTTCCGTGTGGGGTTTTGAGGATCTGGGTGCGGGAGGTCAAGGATTTTGGGCGTATCTGCAAGTCCGAATCTTCCTCGCATATCTTTGCTAGTGATGCAGAGCCATGCAGCGACGATTCCTCGTTTTTCAAGCGAAAGACTGGAGGTTTCCCAGGTCCGAAGCGGTAGAGCGTTGTACAAATGGGCATCTGTGCCGCGTCGTCTCCTCGTACCAGTATGCAGCTGTTGTCGCTGCGAGAGAAGCGGAGGGACCTATACGCTGGCGTGGAGCAGTTCCAGCGCCCCTCTTCGACTCGGAAAACCGGGATGGGATCTGGCCTTGTTCCTCTTGGGAGAGAAATCCAATGCTTCCCCGAGGACTCGATCTGAAATTGCACTGTGGGGGTGAAGCGCTCGCCGGCTCGAGATGGAGAGGTTTCAGAGGAGCGAGAATCCGGGGTGTTCGGAGGAGGTCTGATGCTAGCATTGGAAAATGAACGCGCTGTGGCATCATCGTAGGTCGGCGGCGAGTTTGAAAACCGTGTTCTCGGCGACAGCTCAGTCAGGTTCACTGCAGCAGAAGAATACGACGGGAGGCAAGGTGTGCGCAGAATGGGCCGAATTGTCTCGGACAGAGTAGACATGTTTAATTTTGCTATTAAAAAGGTGGAAAATATCAAATGCCGATGAATTGTACTGGGATTGTTGGGTCGTTGAAAAGACTGGGATGATGACATGCAAAGCCTCTTGACACAAGGTTGTTCAGGACACGGGCAAGCAAGTCTTATATGAGTTGGCCTTCCTGTCCAAGTTATGCTTGACCTCGAGAGGTTGCAGAGCAACGCCTCCATGAAGGAAGAGCGCGAAATACGGCGAATGGCAGTGCCTCACACTCTGCAATCGTCCATTCGACAATGACCCTTCGCTTCCTCACCCACTTGGGGCAGGAAGCATGCAGTGTCCCATGAGATTCCACGAGCGTCCCCAGAGGCGCAGCTGCCTAGCCACCTCATCGTCCCAGCTTCCAGAGCTGAAAGTGGCAGGGAGAACTCTATGCGCCTTCCCGCCACGTGCATGGTCACCGAAGCGTATTGCTCGTATGTTTTCCAGTTGCTTCCTGGAACGCTGGCCAAATTCCAATGAATGAAGCTTTTCTTTAGGTCGCCTTGGTCATCAGAAATGCAAAGGTGATGTGGTCGAAGGTTGTCATGTCTCGTTCTCCCGCGGCCCAACTTTCGGCCGTCGTATTCCTCGTTTTGCTCACTTTAGCCAATGAGAAGCCGGGCATCCGGGCGGTACGTCAAGATGATGGTGGAGGCGGTGCCGGGCCGGGTGGGGCCAATCCTGCCTCGGGTACCCGCACCGACGACTGGAGCTGTGATGAGGATCGGCGGTATTGTTCCCTGGTCCTGGAAGAACAAACCTTGTCTTGCTCACATGTCGTTTTCGCCGTGTGTGGGAACTTGGGTTTGCGTGATTAATCTACCGTAGACACTTGTTAGATTCGCAAACCGACCCCCCTGCCACCCCCACCACACTTACCCAAAACACCACCTATTCCAACGAAAATACCCTCTTTTTAGAGCCCTTATATCGCTCTTTTCAGTAAGCAGTAAGTCCTCTATTTTCCTACTATTACTATGCGATCCTACAATTTTCCCTACTTTAAGTGAAGCTATATATTATTAGTTTTAGTGTCAATATAGCTATATAGCACCCTCTCAGAGAGATTAACCCTAATATTAAACTAGGTCCTACCTCTATACCTCTATATAAGAAGCTACATAAGCTACAGCCTAGCCTGATCGCAGTAAGGTTATATATACCCTCTAAGCTAGTTAAACATATTAAATATATATACTCAGACTCTAAGAGGCATAACGTATTATTATTCTTAGAGTACTACTACGTTAAAGTTAGTAGCTAAAGCTAGTAATTACACACTAGCAAGAAGCGCCTTAAGGGTAGCTTATATTAACCTATATATACTAAGGCTATAACTTAGTTTTTAATACTATATAGAACTATTACTAATTAGTAGAAAGTATATAATAAGATCTTTAACTTAGCCTTATATTAGCTAATATATTAACCTAACTACTCTACCCTTAAGACTAAGTTATATAAACTTTTTATTTAGTAACATACTAAGAATAAGATTATATCTACTAGCTAGTTTTATTAAATAGCTTAAGACCTATTTCCTAAGGTCTATAAATCTACTTAAGTCTATAGTCTTTTTACTTTTTTAAACAGCTAGTTCTAGGGGTTTCTTAATAGGTGGAATATTTCGCGCTAGCATATTACTAAGTAGGCCTCTAAGTTACCTAATAAGTATATATCTATTATTAACAGCTTCCTATACTTCTACTATTATGTTAACTAACTACACTTAATTAAACGCCCTAGCCTAAATATATATACTAAGGTCCCTACTACTAAATTTAGCTAGCGCTTCCCCTACTTATATATTTTAAACCTTAATAAGACCTTTATCCTTTTTAAATACCTTAATAGCACTACTTAGGCTAAAGCTAGTAGTTATACTGTAGCTAATAAGACTAAATATAGTAGCTAGAGTAAGCAGCAAGCTACTCTTATTCTATATATCTATACTGATAGTATATAGAGACTTTAACTTAAGCTGATTTTTTATAGTAAACCTATAGAGATAGGTAGTAAGATTAAGGTAAGTGAGGCTTACCTATATAGCCCTAAAGTTACAGTTAAGTTTAATAGCACTACATATAATAATAAGGTCTCTTTTACTTAATAGATTAATAATAAGTATGCTACCTCTACTGCTAGCTAGAAATACCTACTCGTTATAGATATAGCTAGCTTCTATAAGACCCCTCTAATTACTACTAAATTAAGGGATCTTAGCATAACGCCTATATTAATCCTCTTAGGTATAATATCTCTACTATAACCTCTTAATATTACTATTAATAAGCTGTTTAAGTAGTAGCTTACTGAGGCTATAGAGCTATATATACTTAAGAAGGAGGCTGCTACTACTACTATTAGCAAACTACTTATATAGTTAGTCTCTATAAAGCGAATTATAGTTACTTAGATAGTAGCTATAGCTACCTACTGCCTAGCTATTAAGAAGGCTAATATAGTAGCTAAAACTTTTATAAAGTATAGGATTAGCATTAACCCTAATAGTAGTAACTTCTTAAAGATTAGGATTAAAGATATCCCTACTAGCGCTATTAACTACTTAGGCTAGGAAGTCTTTAACTATAAGGGCTATATTAAAAAAGAGGTTCTTAATAATAAGATTTTAGAAGCCTATATTACTACAGATATTAATAAGTATTATACCTCTACAGAAGACATCTTCTACAGCACTCTTAGCTAAGTTTTCACACCTATCCTTATACCTAATATATAACTAATTAATTATTAACCTAAAAAAAGAAGCCCTCTACCTCCTACTATTTACAATTAATCTTTAGCTTCTTATCCTATTTATGCTAACACTTACTAAGTCACTTAATAAAGCAGTTAATTAACTACCTACCTTAGAGGGTAGGCTCTATAGCATTATAGCTATAGTCTCTAACCTAGCTAAAGTGCTAGTTATTATTAACTTTACTAGCCTTATTTTTTATTATTATAAGGGATATACCTATAGGTATACCTAGAGAGGAGGGTTTTTAGAAGATAAGTTAGTACTATTATTATGCCTTAAAGCAGGAAGAATTAAGGTAGTTATTAGTTATAACTTATTGATCAGTATATCTCTATTATAGCTAAATATAGCCTTTTTTAGGTACTTATAGATGAGGTTAATTAGGCTATAGTCCTCTATTTTTGACGTAATATGCAAAAGTATAAAAAAAGTGCGTTTTTAGCTATATATGCTAATACTATAAGTCTCAGATTCTGCTGTTTTTTCACTGCTACTACCCCTAACTTAACCCCCTACCAGCCCCTACTAGCCCCCGATTAACGCCTCTACAGGCCTCTACAGCTGGCCAATCGGTCGTTATAAGCAGGGGGGGTTGGTTTGCAAATCTAATAAGTGTCTATGGTACCCGTCTGTACGCGTGAGTGATCCAGTGGAGTTTGCAATCCTTGTAGGGCTGGCTTCTTACCGGCGAAATCGAGCACGTCTTGAGGGCGGTAAGCACACGAGAGGAGATGTAAGATTGTAGCGCCAAAGATGTGATAACTATCCGTCATTGTCTTCGCGGGAATTACAATTTTGTAAAGAAGAAGTGATCCCGGCTCATCTGGTCCTCCACCCACACCGGCCACTGGTTGTATATGAGATGCTCATGGTCTATCTGCCTGTTCAGATACCTCAGCCAGCGGACAATGCTGCCCGTGTCCTCCGGGTTGTCCGTCTCCTTCTTCGGAGGCGCCTTCTCGCGGCATTCATGCTCGGCCTTGGTGACCGACGCCATTACCAGCTGAGCGGCGACCCAGTGTGTAGCCAGGAGAACCATCGTCATGTTCGACATGTCGATGACCCGCTGGAACTTGTCATGTGGCAGCTGGATCCACCAGCCGTAGTGCTTCGAGATCATTCTGTACGCTTTGCGAGGTTCGCTCAGGTCAGCTTCTTCTTCTTCTTTTGACGAACTCTCCAATATTGGGGCAGGTAGAGAGACTTTGCGGTACCTTCCCAGGATGATGTATGCATCTTGCACGCCAACTCGTATATGATATCATAGTACTGAATTTCAACCTCGTCTCGGCACAGATGTCGTAACGCACCAATGGCCTCAACCGCCCCGTCCGCCCACTCCTGCCGTATCAATGGAAGATTCACCATCTTCGGCTCCAAGACCGCCCGCGAATCCTGGTCAAGCATGTTGACGAACACGGGCTTGATCCCTTTGCACATCATCTGCGCGCCAATGATGAGAATGCCACGGATGAAGGTCATAAACTCGCCCATGCCGTCCTCAAAGCTGGTTGACTGGAACGTCAGTGCGAAGCACGTGGCTACGAGCGCGTTGGCGTGCTCAGCGTTGGTCCCCTTGGTCGGAAGCTCGGCCAGAGACTTCTTGATTGCCTTGATGGCCTTGATACGGTGTGCCATGGCGAAGGCCAACAGGCTCGGGTCTTGGGCCATTAGATCACAGGCCGCCATGCCGAGGATGGCGTGCATTAAAAACTCGTGCTGTGGAGGCGTTAGTGAACGTGGCAAATACCTCGGGAGCGAGCTGAGTCGTACGCTTTGAGACAAGCATGGAATCTCGTGAGTCCAAATGTTCTCGTTGCCGATGGGGTGGTGCGGGTAGCACTGGAGCATGAAGTGCTGGAAGAACCTCATGTCCTGCAAGCTAAAGAGCGGGACTTGGTGGTGAGGCTGGATGAGACTGTAAGTTGGTGTACGTGAAATACTGACGCCTGGCGTACCTGGTGTGTGATGGCTGGCGTGCTTGGGTATTCGCACTTCAAACCGGTCTTGACACAATGACCACAAGATGGGCGCGTTTCTTGGCACTGCAGAAGCGGTCAGGCCAACCGGCCTCAGATAAGTCAAAGACGGATGGAGTACCTTGATCCGCCTTCTTTTGCAGTTGAAGCATCCTCTTCGGCTCTTCGTATGTCCTCTTCGTTCAAGCCTCTGCTTCTGAACCGGCGTTCTGGGCGAGCTAATTTGCGGACGTGAGTTATTGGCAGCCACTGCCGAAGAGGCGCCCGTCGGGGGAGAGGCGTACAGCGTCTCACTAGAGTACGCTGCCCCGTCTCCGAGAAGCAGGTCCTCGTCCGGGAAGGCCGGCCCGAGATCATACTCATTGAGGTTGAAGACAGGTTGAATCGAAATGCCTTGGTGACTGACGTCCATGATCTCGTTGTTTCAACTTCGAGGGCAGTGATGAATGTGTCGCTTTCAAAGGGCCTGACAGCTAGAACCGAATCGCCGTGCTAGACGTTTTAAGAAGCTTGTTCTATCGCCTCAACGGCTCGTAGACAACGGGCTGACGCTGAACCCATCGCCCGAAAAGCACCCAAGAAAGCCAAGTAAAGTCACGTGTGGTAGCGTCCAAGATTGTCATCGTGGCAGGGTGTCGGAGTGACTTTCAGCCCGCTACAGGTCTTAGATGCATCATTCCTAAGCGTTCATTGGCCCCTCCAGATCGTCACTCAGCTTTGGTGGCTGTCTCGTGGAGGCTGTGCGCGATGAAGCCTTTCGAGTTGCCTTGCGACAGAACCAGTGATATGGCTCGCTGCTCACCGAACGAGTCTTGGAAACGGCACATTGCGTGCGACCAAGCGGGCATCGTCGCGGCGGTGCAAATATCGTGAGGTTCCCTTCCGTGTACCAACGCTGAAGACCCGCTCCGCCATGCGCATGCGCTCCGTAAGCGCTCCAGGGTCCGCAAAACCGCAGATGCAGCTGGATCGATAGCTCAGTGGTAGAGCGAGAGATTGCAGTTCCACGCAGTTATCTCTAGGCCCCGCGTTCGAACCGCGGTCGGTCCTTCCAGTTTTGCACTTTCGATCCTGGTGATGCCCTTTTCTTTTGCCGATTTTGGCTTGTGTAGTCAATCTCCTTCCTCACTTGAGGTGTAAGAAATGCAAGGTTTCATATTGTGCGCGTGTGGCCATTGCGCACCCGCTTAAATTTAAGCCTGTTTGTGCTCTGCCATAGGCACTCACCTTCTGGGGTCGGCGTGTTCAAACATAAACTAGTACTCAAAATCAGTTAACCATACGATGATGGTCTTATATGGGGAGGCTTGTAAAAAGGCCAGACGCTACTTCGGAATTATTTACATGCCATTGTTAGTTTCCGATACGACGGATGCGAATTTAGGATAGCCTCGAAATAGCCTTAGCTAGAGCCGCCTTCCACCCTGACGGAAATGGAAAGCTGTCCTTGCTGAACACTCACAAAGGGACTAGAAGTGACGCCGAAGGTTGAGCAGAAGGACAACTCTGGCCTAGGCCTAAGCCATATTTCCGAGGGTTTGCAAAAGCCTTATTACCCTGATTGTTGGCGACGACGAAAGCAGCGGAGCGACTGAAGCCTCAAGGCAGGTGACTTGCTCTCCCCAAACCCACCTACTGTCTAAGGACCCTGAAGTTGTACGGCGAGCCAACTAATTCCTTTCTTTGACTTCCGATTGAGTGGGGCCCGTCCTCTCGGCATCATGCTGCCGAGCTTAATAATTTCAGCATCCTATGCTATGGATAGCATCCTTTGTATCAGCAGATGAGGTCAGATAATGGCTGCCGACTTCCGGTTTGCAGTGTCTGACACGTTGCGAACACCCGCATCATAGCAACCGTCAGCCAGAGGGAGGGTGGTCCTGCAAGGGCAGACTTGAATAAGTATAAATGCATGCAGCTGGGAGGAATCATGTTCCATGTGGTAGTACGGCGAGGAAGCGACGAGAATGGCACTTTGAAGGAATGCCGGTATTTTAGGGTGTCTGCAGGCAACCTTCGTGTGCGGCGTGCAGCATGCAAGTAAGACAGCCTGTTTGGACAAGCGCAGATGACGGACAACAACCGACAAATTTCAGCCTAGAGAATGGAGAACAATACCAAGGCCCAAAGCCTATGATTGTAAGACATTGGCGTGGATGATTGCCTGCTTGATGACGGCGCTGCCAGGCAAGCCAGGTGACCTTGGGAATCAACAACGTTTATCGGCTTGGAAAATGCCCTCAGCGTCGAACGAATGTACTCGGTGTTTGAGTGCGGCAGCTGTTTGCGGCAAGAGGCACAGCTCGAGTGATTACGTACGCCGCGATGGTTGAACTACTGAACGGCGAAAAGCCTCGTGTTCCTCATTATGAACTGCGTTGCGCGGCCCAGGGCTCTGAGTCGTGCTTCCATCGACGTCGGCTTCAGCCTTTATCAACCACAGTGATCCGAGCGTCCAGCCCGGTGGTAACTGGCCTGATCAAGAACAGCGGCCGGCATGGCAGTCCCGGATGATGGACCCGGGTGACATTCCGAGGCTCTAGCTTCGGCGTGGCGCAGTGGTGTCCAGGTTGTCGCACCCCGGCACATCCTGCTGGGAGTTTGGGACGAGGTCGAACTCCCGTTGGACCACCAAGCTTTGGTTGATCCGGAGAGCTGGTCATCATCAGCTTTCTTTGCCAGGGCAGCACGGCAGGCAGGGGAGGCAGCGGGTCGGACTGGGCGAGGGATGTGGGCGGCTCTGGGCGGCGTGAGAGAGGACCAGACAAAAGTGAGAGAGATGCCAGAATGGGCGTCAAGTTTCGGGGATAATCGATGGGATGTGGTCGACAAATGCCCCGTGGCAGCGGAAGCTCATCTCGCTTAGGGTTTCACAGCCGGCACCCTGGGGCTTGCGGGTTGGCCCTGCCGGAACTGACGTTGTCGGGGACTGGAAGAGTCGGCCGTGTCCAACTCCAAGTCGAGTCGCCCAAGTCCCGGGCAAGGGCTGGGACGTGGACGGGCTGGGCCTGGTCCCAGTCGATCCATCTGGTTCCACGTAACGTACTAAACGCAAAAGGGGATAGGCTCAAGAGAAAGAGGAAGACGACAACGTGGAGCCAACCCAAAGTGGTGAAACGGGTCGAAAAGGCGGGCCTGATCGTGCTCTCAGTGGCCTCGCATTCGTCCCATTTCCCTCGCAGATGGCATCAGTCTTGTCGGTTGCCCCAAGCGCGGGGCTGCCGTCCAATGTTGTCGTTTCTGTCATCCTTTGTTCATCCGATGCTGGCAGCTGCGGGACCGATACGAAGGCACACCAGGTTGTGTGCGCCGTAGGGCGGGCCTCGTAGGCTCTTCAACCCGGGGCCAGGCCAGCTGAGCCGTTGAAGGCTTCGTCAGTGAGGAATGAGGGTCTCGCGTAATGGTCGAGGCCTCAAGGTAGGTGACTCGTCGACGATGAGGCTTGGCCTTGAGCCTGGCAGTATAGAGGCGGTAATGTCCGGAAACGGCGGTGGCTCTCGTCGTTCGTTTGCACACGTCTCCCTGGTGATGGCGCAGAAGCACCAAGATGGGTGAGGAGAGCAGAGGAGAGGGAGCGGAGCCAAGGCACTGGTGACGAGTCCAAGCAGCCAAGCAGAAGTTTCTTGGATGAGTGAGGAGGGAGGCGAAAAGAGAGGGATTTTCCGAGCAACTGTTGTGAGCAATAGCAGGACAACTAAGAAGGTGGTGGAGGCCGTTCGCCAGGATTTCACATGCAGACTTGCAGAAGTTGCCAGTCCTTTGCTGGTTATCCGTCCAGACCCAAGGTCAAGGCTCAATCAAGTTGCACTCAGCAACGGGCCTAAAAACAACGTTAGGCCGAGGGTGCTGATGATGATTCTTACCTGCATCACGCTTACAACACGCACCGGCTCTGACACGTCTACCTACCATCGACTGCCACCTGTGCTTGTTGCCAGCCTGTGCGGTGCATCATGGTCTGGCAGCCGCCGACTGGACTTGGTGGGGACTAGGGGGACGGTTGAGGGGAATAAGCAAGGAACTGGCTGATTCAGACGACTTGTGGTGCAGGCTGCTGGCTCGTATCTTTTGGCGGACGACAGGGCCGAGGTGTACTTTGGCAAGCAGCTCTCACCGAGGTATCCTTGGCGCCCGGTGTTCCAAGGTTGCGCCGCGGTTCCGGTTCCTGCAGCATTTCCCCCCCGTTCCTGCATAAGCCAGGGGTGAAAATGGCGCTTCTTGGTCGATTCGCCTCCTGGTTGGCCACTGAGGTCGACGGGAACGAGTTTTCGACCCTGCCAAGTTTTGCTTCTTCCCCTCTTCTTGCTGCATGCACCGGGCTCGTGCTGGCGAGGGAAGCACGTAAGGAAGGAAGCATGTTGAGCACCTATGGAAGGATAAAGTATGGACGTGATGGTGTGAAGGCACTCTGTAGGCGGCAATGTAAAACAAGCCAAAAAGGCGACTGTTTGTTTCTCCCTCGTTTGACGCCGAGCAGCCGTAATTAGCCCGGGGATCTGGATTATCGAAGACCAGTGAAACCGAGACTCCAACTATTAAGGAATAGAGGCAAATAGCCAAAGAAGAAAGGGATTGTTCATTGCCTGCCCCGTTCTGTCTTGGTATCCATATCCGTACATTTGGTTGGCCGTTGACGGTGACTAGGACGCAGAATTCCAGCGAGTTATGTCACTGTGGGCTCCCGAGTGTCCGTCTGCACGGGGAACCTGCTATCTGTGATACCGTGATTCACCGCGGCAGTTTCTGAAGTCTCCGCTCTGGGCAGCAACTCCAATGCAACAGTCGAGGAAGCCCTGGGTAATCTTCTGTCATCAGGTCGTTGCGTCGGCACGCCACCCCAGCAGCATTCGCGGATGCGTCCCGCCCTTTCGGCTGCCATTCAGCGGTTGCCAGAGAGTCAGTCCAGACTGTCCAGGCCCTGAGGCCCATGATGGGTGCCACAAAAAAAAGCATGGGCCTGCGAGGCGCTGATCCCCCCCTCCCCAAAACGAAGAGAAAAAAAAAAATGAAAAAGACTCAAAGAAAAATCGGACGAAGAAAGACCTGATGAACTGCCAGGGGGGGAACACGGGGGCGCAAGGGAGTTTCCACAATCCAATTCCGTCCCATCTGTGCCACCACTCCAAGTTCCAAGACCACCATTGACCTTCCATCGACCACCACGACGGTGACGGCGGATGCTCCACCTGCCAGATACCTACTGAGGCGTTCGGGTAAAGTACTTTGGTGTGTGGTAGAGGTCAATGGCAGTATGGAAAATCGGGAAACCAAAGCTGAGGAAGTCGCGACTGGCGAATTGCGTGTGCTGCCGTCCTGGCGCATCCACAATTCCCTGCGGTACCTACGCAACCACTACCGCACCATGATTCCTTTCCTGGAAAGCGCGATACATCCGGGCCGTCGTAAACCACC